CCTGGCTTAGTGCTGGAAAGTGAAACTTATCTTTTGTTTAAAGACTTGCCTTTTGTTTAAGGAACCAAGTGGAAATAGCTACGCACAATCTCGCTCTGGTCAGGATACATTAGCACGTTCTGAACTCCCAATCTCGAGATAAGATGGAACCAGGAATGCTCTCTTTTCTTCCTCTTTTCCTCTCTCCCTCTCCCTCACCTGTGCTGTGTCCAGTAGTCAAACCTCCAGTGAAAAGAACACGGCTCTGGTGTCTGACGAACCTCAACTGCCCCCCTTCCCCACGCGGCTGTGCCAAGTCCCGGCTGTGCAGACGAGTCGCCTCCCCGAGCCTCAGTTTCCCCCCTTCAAATGCGGATGCCTGTACCTTCCTCTCGGGGTCTTATGAGGACTGGATTAGGCAGTGACACACCTGGCCCACAGGAGACCATGAAAAGCCCACCCCGCGGCCCCTAACGATTCCATCCCCAGACCTGGCCTCCCATGTTTTTCCAGAGGCCCAGCTCCCTGTCCTCGGGCGGCAGGGGCCTTCCCAGGCCTGCTGGGCTCTCCCCAGAGCATCAGTGTACCGAGGCCTGGAGACAGGCTCTCTCTTCCAGTGGGCTCCGGGTCATAGAAGGGAAGGCTGAGGCCGGGAGCCGTGGGAGGGTCTCGTCCAAGGCTGAGCTGCATATCCGTGGGCTGAGGACACACGCCTCACACCTGGCCCAGCTCAGGCCTGCGCTGCCCTGCAGGGCTTCCAGGCAAGTGCCAGGAGCCTCGCACACCGCAGCCCGGTGGGGCGGCCACCGTATTTCCTGCACGTTATGAAATGCAACATGGGGCCCGGAGATTAGAGCTGAAAAAGAAAAACAGGAAACCCACACGTCTGGGGGCTGTGCCCCTGCCTCAGGTGCCCGAGGAGGCAGAAGGGAGCTACCCTCGGCCTCAAGCCTTGGGCCCATTCACACTTCACTCCCTCCTCCCAAGAGGTCTCCCCTTCTGCCACTCACCCCAAACCCATAGCCCCCACCTTCCCCTGGCAGCCCCCAGCACTCCTCTCTCCTGAAGGCGTCTGCTGAGCTCACTAACTTCAGACCCCAGGCCAACGGGGGGACACAGCAGCCTACAGCAGCGCTAGCGTTAAATGAGCCAAAGCCTGGGATAGTGCCCGGCACTGGCTTTCATCAGGGATCCCACTGGCTCAGGGCTGGTTGCGATTCCTTCCTGCCGCCCCCCTCCCCCACACCACAGAGCCCAGCTTTGGTCCAGGAGCTCCTTTGGCCATTTGGGTGCCGCCGGGATGGTGATGAACTGCCACCCTTCCTGGCCACCTGCAGCCCGCCGCCCCACTGGGCCTGCACCTGTGGCTCCTTCCCCACACAAGCTCTGCTACCAGTTTGCCAAGTTCCCTGCTGTGTTGCTCCCTGCAGAACCCGTGCCGCTCTCACCAGAGCCATCCCAGGGCTTGCCCCTCAGTCCGGTTCCGCGGACGCCGAACGGACTTCATTGTCAGAGAGCTGAGGTAAGCCATGACGGCTTCGGACAACTGAGTATCGGGAGGCCATTGTTTTCACAGCCATTTCTTTCTCAGCTCCAATCACTTGCAATGCTATCCTTGTCAGCTTACAGTACGTGCTGTGTGATGTTGTTTATGTGAAACTCAAAAGAGGCAAACGGTGGCAGGCATGCACCTGCTGGCAGTGACTTCCTTCGGCCTGGGGGTTGGGAGGGGCAGGGGGAGCCCCTGGGGGTCCCCTGCCTGGAAGCGTTCTTCCTTGGTCTGGGCGGGGCTTACATGGATATAAAACTGTGTCTATAACTAACTTGGTGTAAGTTATACCAAATTTTTTTAAGAAGAAAGAAAACACTGTGTACCGCTCTGCACACTCATCAGAGCGGCTAAAACGAGACAGATCACACAAAAACTAGTTGCTGATTTTTTTAAAAAATTAGATATTTGAAGGTTTTTCATTTCGTTGCTTTTTCATTCTTTTTCCTATTCATCCATCTGCTCACCTCTCACCCAGTTGGGTGGACTCAGTCCTGGGTCCCCAAAAGTACACACTGAAAGGCCTCATGGGGTCGCAGAGGGAGCGACAGCCTGGGAACCCCAGCAGCTCGGGCTCTCGTCCCAGCTCTGTACTGACTCGCTGGGTGACCTGGGAAGGCCCGTCCTCCTCTGTACCCCAATTTCCTGATCTGTTGAAATATATTCTTCCTAATAGCCCCCTTCCCTGCTAGACACTGTGACTGCACCATTCCTTCCCACAATAGCCTTGAGGAACTGTCTCCAGGGAATAGATGGAGAAATTAAGGCTCAGTGAGGGTGGTGGGGGTGCATCCAGCCACATGGTGGGTGGAGCGGAAGAGGACTCCCCTCTCTAATCACAGATACTGAAATGCTGGGGGGAAAACCAACCCCAAACAATTAAAAACAGACATAGCTTGAGAAAGGAGGAAAAGAGGGAAGTGGTCTACCCGGAAATTCAAAACCGGAGAAGTAGCCGAAACCGGTTTGGCTCAGTGGATCGAGCGTCGGCCTGCGGACTTAAAGGTCCCAGGTTCGATGTGGAGGGCCCTGGGATGTGAGGCCAGATGCAGGTCCAGGTGGAAGCTGTTTGAATGTGCACGTTTGACCTTGGAGCTTTGGAAGGGTCAGGGAAAGAAGCCAGTCATGAGAAGCGTGAACGCGACTCCAAAACTGAGCCATTGCTAAGTGGGTTCTGAGTTTATGGCGTAAGAACCTCAAACTGAGAAATCAACATAAAAACTTATCTAGAATTCGTTGGAAACCCTGGTATCATCTGCACTGTAGAAACACTTCCATATGTCTGTCCGACAGAAAACAAAAAACAAAAACAAACTCCTATTGAAGATGAGTTCACAAGCAACAATTACAAACCACAAGGAAATGCACTCACCACCCCATGAGCTACGCAGACAAAACCGACAGGAGACTTAGCGTACCACGCCCTGGGAGAGTTTATCGAATAAGTTATATTTCAGGTTATAGAGAGAGAGAGGAGAGATGCCTCAATTAAAGAACAAGAAAACATAGAGCAGAAAGCGTGGCCCACAACACGAGCATGTGCAGTAGTCGAGCTGGGACCTCCGTTCTGAACGTTTGTTTCCTGCTCTTAAACCCTTCGGGTGATTTTATGACCCTGAACATAGGCAATGCCCCCATCCTACCCCACCTGCACCAGGTCTTCCCGCCCTCCATCTGCGCCCCCCAATCCTACCTGGCACTAAGGAGGTGGTAAGGCAGGTGCCAATGGCCAGCACCAAGAATGGTGAAATCATGATGCGCTCCAAGCCCTGCTCTCTCTCTGGAGCCCAGACGTACAATCCACGTGGGTGGGAGGGGTGGGCTGGCAGTGGTCAGCCGTTAGCTGATGTTAGCTGATGTTCCGATCCTAAAAATGAAAAGAAAAAATTTAAAAAGACACCTGGGCCACAGCTCCAGAGTTCATATGTTCATTCACTTAATTCCTTTGTTGGTTCATTCATTCACTAAGTCTTTATTGAGCCCCTATTACAAGCCAGAGCTGGGGATGCCACCCTAGGTGGTCTCTCCCTCAGGAAGCTTAATCCCATGGCAGTAGAATGATGAATGAGTGCCACGCCACAAAGAGGTTCCCTCCCCCTTCCCCAGTGAACTCTCACTGTCAGTCCAGCGGGACCCACCAGAGTTCGGGCTCTCTGTGCACTGCTCCTCAAATGGTAGCGCGAGTCAGAACCTCCTACGGGGCTTGTTAAACTAGATTCTGTCCCTACCCCCATCCTCGACCAGAGCTTCTGACTGCATTGCCAACAAGCTCCCGGGCAATGCCCCTGCTGTTGGCTCATGGACCACACCTTGGGAAGACTGTTCTAGAACAGTCTTCAGGCTCTTAATTACCTGTGACCCGAGAACATCAGAGACAAAAAAAGAGTCCACCCTTTCTTAGAGGGACCCCTACGTCTGCTACCTTCTCTTCCAGAGCTTGTCATTTACGGAGAGAGATACAAAAACCATAGAAGTGACCGATGGGAAAAGATTGGCTGGGAAGGGTGGCCATTTCTGGGTAGTAACATTACAGATGACTCCGATGATTTTTTTTTCTGCGTTTCCCAAGATTTCTTCTGTGTTGAGATGTTACCTTTGTACTTTTTTGAAAATGTTATTTTTTAAAAAAAAAGTTAACCAAAATGTTAACTGTGGCTTTCTCTGGGCAGTAGGACTGTGAATGATTTATTTTATATTTTTGATTTTTCCTAATTGCCTAAAATGAGCATGTATTAATGGCATACAAATGTTTTTAACTTGTGGCCACAAGTTAGGTTCCTGTTAGGTTCATGAGGGATAACCCACCCATTAGCAGCTGAGAAATGTACTAGCCCTGTATAAATGTTAATGGAAGATGAAGAATTTTAAATAGCGAGAGCTTCACTAGGAAATAATGTGATTATTTCCACCAAAACCAAGATTAAAATGACTCTTCCATTTGTTGGGAATGTTCACCTAAAAATTAAAAAAAAAGTCAAGGTGAGAGGCAACAAGTGTTTGAGATCCAAAAAGAATTGTAGCCTTACTCAGTTTGGCTCAGTGAACAAAGAGTCGGCCTGCAGACGGAAGGGTCCGGGGTTCGATTCTAGTCAAGGGCACATGCCTGGGTTGCAGGTTCGATCCCCAGTAGAGTGTGTGCAAAGATTATCTCTCATCATTGATGTTTCTTTCTCTCTCTCCCTCTCCCTTCCTCTCTGAAATCAATAAAAATGTAAAAAAAAAATAATAGTAATAATCAAATCCTATATTTAAAAAAAAAGAATTGCAATACTGGGAAGCATTAGGAGTTGATGGCAAGGGGAATTTATGAGAAAGGGAAGGGGAAGAGTTACATCCGTAGAAGGAGGGAATTTTTATGAGTCGTATAAACTAAGGAAGGAATTTCTCTACAGGTGCAGCTAAACTAGCACAGCGATGGCAATCGGAAAGAGTCCCATTAAGTCTCAGTCAGACGTTATGGTCACAATGTTTGCTTTCCCGGCATTTTTTTGCACCAGCTATTTCGTTACAGTGCTGCTTCAGGCCCAGCCCAAGGTGACCATGCCCAGTTCTAATGCTCCACGCATGGGAGGAGTAAGACGTGCAAGGCAGGCCCCTGGGCTGGCGGCTCCAACTCCATTTTGAAGCGGTCCTGCTTATATTATTTCCCACATGAGAAACGGCAGGGGTGCACCACATTGCATGGTTAGTGTCATGATAGGTAAGAGCCGCTCTACCGCCGGAAAAGGTGAGGTTGAGTCAACCTGAAAACTGTACATGCTGCCCTGACCGGTTTGGCTCAGTGGATAGCGCGTCGGCCTGCGGACTGAAGGGTCCCAGGTTCGATTCCGGCCAGGGGCATGTGCCTTGGTTGCGGGCACATCCCCAGTGGGAGGTGTGCAGGAGGCAGCTGGTCGATGTTTCTCTCTCATTGATGTTTCTGGCTCTCTATCCCTCTCTCTTCCTCTCTGTAAAAGATCAATAAAATGTATATTTTTTTTTGTAAAAACTGTACATGCTGCACCCCAGTGCCCAGAGGCGAGGGTCCACCGGCACCGCATCCCACGAAACACCCCAAGTTCACCAGACACGCCG